GTTGTTGTTGTTGTTGTTATTGTTATTGTTATGTTACCTTTTTAGGAGTACCCTACCATTGCTAGGAATGCATCAGTGACTAGTTGTATTAAGACAGTAGGAAGCTCCATATAAGCAGACAATGAAGTACCCATATTCTGCTCTTTCTATGTCCTTTAGTCTACATGAGCACATTTGCTTTACTCTTAGGATTTGACAGTATTTCTCCTCCAGTAATTAGAAGGGTGATCTGCTTAATGTGGCTGGGCTGAGGGATCTTTAACTTCTGCCATAAACAATTGTCATCAGAGAGCTTGGGAGGGTAACGAGTCTCTTATAAATTCTGGTTTCTAAAGGGGGAGGGAGCTCCACACTCCGTAACTTTTCATTTTTAACAGCCAAAGTTCCACTTTAGTCTTTGCCCTTTCTAGACCTAAGGTGATCAACGTTTGTGATGAAAATCCACAATCCTACATCTCTTGCTCAATTTCTGTTCTTTTCTCCAGGTGACAAATATATCCTGGACACTCCGTAACTTTTCATTTTTAACAGCCAAAGTTCCACTTTAGTCTTTGCCCTTTCTAGACCTAAGGTGATCAACGTTTGTGATGAAAATCCACAATCCTACATCTCTTGCTCAATTTCTGTTCTTTTCTCCAGGTGACAAATATATCCTGGAGTACCAGGGTGGGTACGGACTGAGTGTTAAGAATTAATTTAAGCCAGCATTTTAAACAACAAACCATAACATTTCCCTCAAAAGTGAACATTTCAGATTCCAACCAAAGCAACGTATTTGCTGCACAGCAAGAAACATAGAAGCTTTGACTGAACAATTTTGACTCCCCATTTTTCGACTATATACAGAACTTCACCAAACACCTTCAACAAACATCTGGGTATGTTTTAGTCTTAAAAGTCTTAATGGCAGGTAGTAAGCATGTGCTGTCTTTAGTTTTAGCAAAGATTAAAATAACTCTAGAGCTATTTGGGGCATTTTCTATGATAACCCTTCTCTGTTCTCTTCAACCAGCTAACGCTTGGAAGATAATGCTTCAATTTCTAAAGGAACAGACTTGTTCTGTTTGTCCCATCTATCACTCAGCTATGCAAATAGGACTTAAAAAAAAAAAAAAACAACTTCTCCCTTTACTGTGATTTACATTCAGGTTTACCCCCTTGTAAAATAATGCAAGAATGTTAGATCTCCCCTCCATGCCTGAATTAATTGTAGATAAAATTGCAGCATGCAAAAATGCCACTAATGGTCTGTTAGGATTTTTGGGGTGGAAAATTTCTGCTTAGTTAGTAGCTGCAGCATTCCATGCACAAATATTATGCTAGAACCCGTGTTCAAATACATCCTTGCTTTATCTCCTTTTAGGTGGAGCTTTGGGTAGATAGTTGCACATGGCAATAATAATGTACTTGCATTATGATACTATTGTGAAGCATCCTGAATAGATACAGCAGTCATTTCTAGATGGTGAAATATTCTGTTTTTTCCTGAGATTCTCTTTGAGACTTTAATCAAACACTTATTTTAGAACTACGAAGGTTACAAGGAGGGTACCATGTGAAAACCCTTCCTATTTTAGTTTGGGCAGCCTTTCTTGCTCCAAGAAAAGTAATTGATGAAACTGAGGCTTATGAACACTTTGTCTGAACCCTATTTGCAATCTGGTTATGTTATTTTATATTATTAGCACTTTGTTTTCAGTGATTCATATAATGTGATGCTGCCAGTTCATTTTCAGGAGGAGGTGGGATTCCTCATGGATAGATATTAAAAAAAAAAAAATACTTACTGATATGCATACATATATTTGCAACTGTAGGTTTTAGCAAAATTCATTTAAAATTACAGCAATCCATATCAATTCAGTCAGTCCCTCCTAGTATTTGGAGCACTACTTATCAACATTTCCTTCCATATCTTTCTTGCAGCCATTGCAAACAGTGCATCTTGATTTGTTACATATTCATTTTCATCAGGCAACAAAAAATAGATTTTTTCAAAATTGGTCTGATTCAATTGATTTAACAAAGGTGTGATAAATCTAGCTCTTGGTTCTTGGTATAATCTATACTGTAATAAATAATGAGTCAGATCCTCCACGTGTGACGTATTACAAATACATAAATGGTGTGTAGTTGGTAACCCTTTATATCCTCCATCTAAATAGGCTGTTGGCATTGGTTGAAAGCAAAGTTCTGTAAAAGCTTGTCTCAGTGACTGGGGTATGGAAGACTGTAAGTGATATGAGATTCCTTGTCCTTTTTTAAAACAACGATACCACTTGGCCAACTTAAGCTTGCATACCTGATCTCTATCCTGTCTAAAATCTTTAAAAAATAAATAATCCCTCAATAGTGTATGATAATTTATGTCATTAAATAGTTCCTGATCTAAAAAGAATTGAAAGAATAGTTTTTGACACAAAATCGCCCATCTGTTGCTATTAAAATGTTCATACAGGCATTTTTTAGCCAGATAATTATTGGGCAATAAGAACTAGTTCCCTATAATATAGGATTATTGCCTTCTTTACTCTTATATTAATAATGTCTGTAATGTTCTTAGAGAAATTTCGTCTATGTTAATTATTTCAGAATTTAAGAAAGAAAAATTTTAAAAATGCAAAAACACAACCAAAGATAAAAGAACAATATTAACATAGTAGAATTCATTCTTCCCCAGCACAAAGAAAATGCCCAGAGGTTATCATTTGCCATTCTAAACAGTGATGGCCAATATACCCATTTGGGTATTTCAGGGGAAAATAGACCTGTGTGTCCCTAAAGACATTTCCATAACCTGAAAAAAATACAATCTAAACTTCTTAGGGCTATTTTTGGGACTCCTTGTTGGGTCCCAAATGCTTTATGGATTGAAGACAATCATAGTTTCCTAGAAACATCTTTGTACTGGCTGAACCTGGTATGCTGTGGGTAAGACTTAGCATCTTTAATTGCGTATAGTTAACAACATTCCAAATGAATAAACACTCTGGAAGGGGAACACAGAGCTTTTCACCATCTATCATCCTAACTATAAAAACCAAAGAAGTTTCTTAAACAGCATATTTCAGACACCCAAAAGCAAAACAAGCTTAGCTGAATGGACCATTGCTGTACCATTATGAATTAAATGCAATTTTTTGGCCAGTTTCTGACCTCCTCCCAGATTATACTGTATTTTTTTACTAGTCCAAGTAAATGCTGTTACCTTCTTCAATTATGAAAGACAGATCTGCAATCGCCCCTTATTCAGAAAAGCTTTGCTATTCTCTTTCAAGGTCTGCTGAATCAATGTCACATATCTTATTGTATTGTTCCAACTAAGAAAGAATTATGATATATAAAAGAAATTTGCATAACATTTCTGATATATAAAGTGTCCTTTTCAAAAGGTCCTTTGCTATTTCTCATTTCGACCATGTGAGATACTAAATACTATTCTGTTGTTATTTCTAGAAATTATTTTGCCATATGTTCATAAAAGAAAAAAAGTCAGTAATATAGACTATGGCATATTGAAAGATTGGAATTTGAGCAGAAACAAATTGAAATATTATAAAATAATTCATATTTGGTGGTGTTCCTGTACAGCATAAATAGCTATTAGACTTGCATGCTTCGGTGATATCCTCTGTCCATTACTTGGGCATTTTCTCTATTTCAGGCCAAAGAGGACAGATGGAAGAACTCAACCATGGATACCCAAATAGCTCAAGAGTGACAGAATTCATTCTTCTTGGCTTCCCAGGCTCACCAGATTTTCAACTCTTCATGTTTATCCTCTTTTTAATAATATACATTCTGGCCATCTTAGGAAATCTCTCCACCATCCTTCTCGTAATAAAGCATCGACACCTCCACACTCCTATGTACATTTTCCTTTGCAACCTGTCTTTCCTGGAAATATGGTTCACAACAGCCTCTATCCCCAAGATCCTTGCCATCTTTCTGGGGAGAAGCAGAAGTATCTCTTTCTCTGGCTGCATTCTGCAGTTGTACTTCACTTTTTCTTTTGGATGCACTGAACAGTTTCTGATAGCTGTGATGGCTTATGACAGATATTTGGCCATATGCTATCCTCTGCATTACAGCACCATCATGAATACCACCCTATCTTGTAAGTTGGCCCTTGGCTGTTGGCTGGGGAGCTTCCTGATTATTGGCATACCTACCTACCTGGTTACAACACTGTCCTTCTGTGGGCCCAATGTGATCGATAATTTCTATTGTAACCTTGATTCCTGGATCCAACTCTCATGCACAGATACTCGTTTCATTGAGCTAACATTTTTTTTCATGGCTATTATTGTCGTTATAGGCTCCTGTATGATGACCCTCCTTTCCTACACGTACATTATCTCCACAATCCTGCGCATCCCTTCCACCAAAGGTCGACAAAAAGCTTTTTCCACATGTTCTTCCCACCTTGCTGTGGTGATCATTTGGTATGGTTCCACCATGTTCCTCTTTGTCAAACCTTCTAAAGAGACCACTTTAGAAAAAACCAAGGTAGTGAGTATTTTCAACATAATTTTGGTCCCACTGCTGAATCCTTTCATCTATACATTAAGAAACAGAGAAGTCAGGGATATTCTGAGGAATGTATTTCCCACGTGATGGACAAAATGCAGACTAATCTAAAAGACTTAAAATTCATTAAATGAGGGGTGCTCCACAGAAATGTTGCATTTCAACTCTTGCAGTTGGCAGGAATAGCATTGGCAAGCATGCCATATTCTCCAAGACTGCATTGCTGATGCTCTCATACTGGAGTAATTGTGGAAAATATTTGTTATCTCTTTTATTTTTTCTCTTTTCCTCAAAGTAATATTAGGAATAAATAAAATTTTAACAACCCACAAACCCTCTGTGACTCACTTATCAAGGCTGAGTGAGAATGGACAGAACATTCTCTTTCATTTGCTATTCTCATGGCCATGCTATTGTCTTTCATTTTGAATATTATTTTCTCATTCATATTTCCTATCTGGAAAGGAATCTTAGGGAGACAATCAGTTATCTGGTTGTCAGAATGTTGTCATTCGCTCACACATTAAAGAAATATTTTCAGGACTGACTCCCAAAAACGATGTACCCAAGTCATAGTTTATTTATGCAGTTAACACCCTCAAGTTGTGGTGGGGACTTCTGCAATTATTGTTTTGTACAATGTAACAACACTTGTCTGAATGGTAACCCTGCCTGGTTCCTCTGGCAGTAGGTATGATTGGCATTTTGAGAATTTGAGATGAATATTCAAAGAAAATATGTGAAACAGGAGGTAACGAAATGGTTCCAAAATGGAAAGAACAAATCACAAAGAGTTGTTTAGAAGGTGAACTTGTGGAATTATTCTGTGCCACCATTTTTGGTGCATCAGAAATTAATTATCAATCCCTATTTACCATATTACAGTTTTATGGTTTTATGTTTTAGGGCTGCAATATTGGGTCTGCAGGCATCATGCTTAGGTTGCAGGCCATAGGACATGGGTGCTTACAATGTTAGACTTATCACACTGTGATATCCACCATGAAACAAGTGGGTGAATGTCTAATTCCTTGATGCCAGTTGTGTCTGGGTAGCAGTGCTGGCAGTGTTCATTCAGATGTTTGTGTAGAAAAAAAGGACTGGCAGATGCAGGTTCATGGAGGCAAGCACACATCCTACTTGGTGAAGGGAAGCCAAGCAGCTTCTTGAATAAATAACAATATGAGAAAAACCCAGATCTGATATAGGGTAGGTAATTGAGCAGCAGCACTGTGTGAGTTGTAGATAAAATTGCAGTAGGAGCCACATCCATACATTCTTTCTTTATCTCTTTGCCAGTGGAATTTTTGATAGACAGTTTCCATGCCTATCAAAATTCACTTTCCTTGTGATGCTATCATGAAGCATTCTACAAAATACAGAAGTCTTTTCTCAATGGTAGAATGCTCTAATTTTTTTCCAGATGTTTCATAATTGCATTAAACATTGCCATGAAATACATTAGTACAAAGGTCACTCATAGGGTACCCTGTGAAAAACTAGATAATGAAGAATGACATAGTGGTCCAAAGTTTAACTTTCTGCTATAAATTTGTTCTTTGAGTACAGGTGATGAGCATATGGCTTACTAGCCATATCCAACATGCTAACTGAGTGATTAATTGATTGATTGTTTGAGTCACTCATTTACTATATAGTTATTTACTAACATTTGTCTGCCAATCCACTCCAAGATTTTCAAATACACTCTGAGTGTTTTACAATATCCAAACCATAATAATCAAAATAGGAAACTACAACCAATAGAATTAAGTGCTAAAAGAATTGATTACAATGTTTGTATGGAGGGATATCTTCTTATAAGTTTGCCTTCTGGCCCACAGAGATTTACTTACATCCCTGGAGCCCAATGATCCATTTATCTTTTACATTTCCGGAGTTCTCTTTATTTTCGAGGTGGAATACTTTCTGTCTGGAGATTAGACTAATAACACTGGGTAATTTCTGGTGTCAAATAATTGTAATTAATTACTAGTAGTATATATCAAAGGCAATGGCTAATATTTTGATTTAACTGTATTTTAATGCTATTTGTATTTTATTTGATATTCCAATGATGACATTTTCTTTTCTTTCCCCCCCCCTTTTTTTTTGGAGGGGACAATTCTATGAGATTACCTTAGAAAACAATTGCTCTTTTAAGAGGTAAGATCTTTGAAATTCAAAGTCTGAAAAAGTGCACCAACATACAGTTAATTAGGTTTTTGTCCTGTTATTATTCCATCAGAACTGTCAGACATTTTAGAGATAAAAGCACTTTTTATGGCTCATTTCTAGTGCCATAAAGATTTTTTACTGAACTTACTATCTGGTTGATTTCAGTTAGATCATGTATTCTACTATCAACCAAAAGACACTGTGCAGTTATTCCATCCTTTTCTCTTTAATAGATTTTCTGTGTTGATTTTCAATAAGGCAAGGTGAATTAACAATAAATGCCTTTTCTGCAAGTATCCTGGGTGAGTAAAAATATTAATAAATTTATTTTTTTCAAATAACTATTAGATGTTAAGATAAGGAAAACCAAACTAACAAAAACTAATATTAAAGATAAAGAATGAAATTAGAAATAGAAGATGAACAAGTGAAACAATGTATGATAAAATGGACTAAAATTTTTGGGTATAATATACCAGTGGAACAATGGGAGAATACGTGGAAGAAAGATTTGAAATTTACACTGTTACAATCTTAAAGATTATTGTTACTAACATATTAGGGAACAGTGGAGCCCAAAATTTCTTTAGTAAGAATATTTTCCTAGTTATATCTAGCTAAAGACTCCAAACTTTACACTGTCACAACATCAGTTTACTTGTTAGTCTATAGGTAGTAAATGAGCAACTAAATAAATAAATTCTTTTTTGAGAGAGATAAATTTGGGGGAGGAATTTAATGATGGAGGTGTGACTATTCCCACAATAAATCATTTGATTTAGGTAAAATTCAAACATTCCTAAAGAATACAGTACTTCCAATAGAAGTTCCTTTCCCTGTGAATTGCATAGGGTTTTTGTTTTTGTTTATTTGTTTTTGTTGTTGTTCCACCAGAAAAAGCTCTTTCTGTTAGATGAAAAGAACCAACAGATACAGTAATATACTGATATATAAAATCAATTCCATCAGAGGAGTGCAGTGCTAGGAACAGTTAAGATACTACACAGAACCCTCAAACTCCCAGGCCTCTGTAGAAGACCCAAGGTTGAGGAAGACACATACCACCCATAGGGGTGAGAGAGGGATTTATATATACAGTACTGTGCAAAAGTTTTAGGCAGGTGTGAAAAAATGCTGTAAAGTA